AGTCCCTGACGTAGCTTACCCCCCCTCCCTCCCCCTTCCCTAATGGGCTCCAAAACCCACCGAGAAGGTAGATAACTGGGGGGGGATACCATATATATATATATATATATGTATATACTTATCTCGACAACTTCAACTTGTCCTGTATGGCTTTTGCCAAGGATTGCACTGCTACTGTTACACTTGTTTGAGCATCGCAGCATGACGAAACGAGGCCTTGTAGCCCAGGTCAAGGAGTGCCCTCAGGATTGCGAGTCCGAGTCTATCTCGGTCTGGAAGCTGTGTTGTTGTCGATAACATACAGCCTGCCAGATGCACGGAGTGTGTTTCACGCAGGTGCGACGGGTTCTCTCGCCGTCCCGGCTGAAGGTTGCGAGAGATCCGCAACGGAGACGGCGCGGCGGAAGCCTGGGACGTGGGAGTTATGTCAACATTCATGCCGCGGTCAGCAACGCCGACCATGATCTCGCACAGAAACTGCTCCACGAGTTTAGAGGCACAAGCTGTGGACATGATGCTTCCCCGCAGCCCAACTTCAAAACGCGAAGATACAAAAGTACGCACTGTCTCTTTCGCCCGCAACAATGGGAAAATTCGATTGCCGGTGGCACTCCCTGCAAAACGAGACCAACGTGCCTTTGCTCATGAGCAACTAGCTCAACGTGATCCATCAAAGGTTGACCAAAGCTGACGGACCGATAGGAGCCGATGCCGGTCAGCTCAATGATGCTGGAGCCATCTGACAGCTGGTGCTCTTTATAGAAAGCGCCGCCAACGACCACTGTGTCGTGTACCTGCCAGATAAAGCCTTCATACTGCCAGCAGGTGATTGCAGAGGTGGATGAGGATGGAGCACACCGAGGACGTCCGCGCCTCTCAGTGCTGATACTGTGCTGATCGATGAAGGGCCGTTCAGCTACAACACTGCTACAACCAATGTTAAAGCCAGGCAGCTGCCCAGGTAGTCTTCTTGCACGATAAAGACGTGCACGGCCACGAAAAGCTTCCAATACCTGGATACCAGGAGAAGCGGGCAACGGACAAGCAGGCGAGCAACTGACGAGCACGTGACCAATTCCCGGCAAGAGACTTCTTCCGAGTTCCAGTCAGCCTTCCCCAGATCCAGATCCAAGAAGTCAGTTTCTGCATCCGGAATCATGGCGGCACCGGATAATTCATGTCCTGATGCTCAGCCCCTCAGTCTAGAACCGCGCCGAGATCCACTCGGCCACGTCATAGTCTTTGGGTGCCCAGGGGTTTGTAGGAGTGTGTATAGAGGGGCTTGCGGACGGGCTTGTAGGGAAGTTCATCGGAGGGTTTCAATAAAGTTTCTAGCGTTTAGAGTTGAGGGGTTGCCTGGATGTGAACGGATGAGCAGCACCAGCCGTGTGTTGGAGTTCTTGGCTGGCGCGGATCACAGGGAGGATCAGGCAGCCTGCTATGTGACCCGGTTGTCGGTTGTGCCTGAGCCGAAGCAGCTACTATCCCACTGCCACTGCCGTACGGCCCTTTCCACCGGGCTTACGGTGAGTACGGGGCCCAGTCGTTCCACCCTCGGCTCTCAAGAGTGCGCCAAAAGGCACGGGGCAGGGCAAAACCATGGCACCCGAAAGGCCTAAACTGCGGCACCCTAAAAATCATGAGGGTTGAATTTCTATATCTATATCTATATCTATATCTATATCTATATCTATATCTATATATATATATATATATATACGGTAGAAGAGCGTTAGGATTTGGGGTTTAGGGTTTAGGGTTTGGGGTTTGGGGTTGAGTGTTTAGGTTCAGGGTTTCCCCCTAGGATATGCTTTGGGGGTTCCCTTCATGCGGCAAGCTGCAACGATGCAGCACGGCACAGCGGGGGCTAACGTGACTTGAACTTCCTCTTGCCCGCCCTCAGAGTCAGCTCTTTACTGTAAACCCTTAACCAAGCCTGGCCTTGATTTCATAGCCCTAGCTGAGCTAAGCGCCGGCGTAGGGCGCTTTAAAGAAAATAGCGCCGTGGTATGTATTTCAAGTAATATAAGTATCCCTAAGGGGATAGTAATGGTAGCCTAAACCCTAAACCCTGCACTAGCTGCTTACCTCTCTTCGGCTCGAGGCATTCAAGCTCCATGGTTTCGGTTGAGCGTGAGCTTCCCGTAGGTCGAAACTGAACCCTATAACCTACCTTCTAGGGCTCCTTATTATGATGTCTTTACACATGTCCTGAAACCGGTAGGCTATTTGGGTGTTCAGGTAAACCCTAAACTAGGCCCTGAGCCTTAAACCCTAAACCCTAAACCCCTAAACCCCTAAACCCTAAACCCTAAACCCCTAAAGCCTAAAACCTGAAGCTTAAACCCCTAAACCCTAAACCCCTATAATCCCCAAACTGATAGGGCCGGTTTTGCCTCCTCGCAGCCAGTCAACCGACTCGCGTCGCTCACCGGACCAGATGAGCCTGTAACGTTTAGGGTTTAGGGTTTAGGGGGCCTTCATGGATAGTAAAGGATAAGAAGATCTCGGATATGCCGGATATGCTATACTACAAGTAGAAGCTGAGGAATGACGACGGCTGCTACTACTACTACTACTACTACTACTACTACTGGCACCACTACCACTACCACCACCCCTACCACTACCGCTGCGACTACCACTACCCCTAGGACGACGACGTCGACGACGACGACGACTGCTACTACTACTTACTGCTGCTACTACCATGGTCTCGGCATTTGAGATTTAGATCTTGGGGCTTCAATGCTTTATGGTGTAGGGGCTAAGGCTTCAGGGAATCTCGGGATTTAGCGGATTGAGGGTTTTAGAGTTTAGGGTGTGATGTTTCAGGGTCTGGGTTTCGGGCTTTAGTATTCTCGCCGAAGGGTGTTTATGCACTCCCCGAGTACCCCTATGATAGGGCGAACTATCGTTCAGAAACCCTGGCGGTGTTCAGAGCCTGTCGTTTTGGGTCTTCATGGTTTGAAAGCCTTAGGACTTGATCTTGCATGCGTTCGTCTGGCTGCAAGCATCACCATTGCTTCTCTTCCCATCATCATCTAAACCCTCTTCGGGTCACAGCATAGACGGTAGACGGCGGGGTAGACAGGCCTCTCTAAGGGAGTGTTCCCCCCAAGCCCTACCCCAAAGCCCGAAGACTGACTCCTAACTCAAGATCCTAAGTCCAGAACCGTACCCTGACCCTTAATTGTACTACCTGTTTAGTGCTACCTTAGTTTTTTGTTATAGGATCTTAACCATAAAATAAGACACCCCAAAAAAGGTTGCTACAGGTAAGGGTCTAGGTGGATCCCGCGGCCTGAAACTCAGCCTTTCCACGCCCTCTCACCCACCCCCCACCTGGCAACGACCTCCAAGCGCGCCGAATGTGGTTGCAGGTCTATAGGCTGGAGCTTCCTCGTCCACGGATTCGAGGGCTCTCTGGGTAGGGAAGGGTTCCATAAAAGGGCTCCTGCCTTTAGGCTTCAGGATTTCGATCGAATTCGGATGTGAGTTTACAGGCTTTAGGGTTTTCTCTAAGGTTAGTAGGACACTTCAGGGCAGAGTAGTTGAGCCCTCGGTCTCGGTTGCTGGAAATGTTCTTTCGAGAACCCTCGTATAAGTGCAGTGTAAACGCTGCTACCCAGTTCAAGGATAGTAGTAGTAGTAGTAGTAG